CCATGCCACCGAAACCTCTAGGAACAAAGTAGTCCAGGCCAGTGGGTACGCCCCCTTCACTTACGACTTGGTGTATTTGACGCCGGAAGCCTTCCGATCCAGGATGCCATAGCCTGTGTCGATCACCTCCTTGGTCTTGCCTGTTTCCTCAAAAGCGGACTTCAGCTCCACGGCGACGTATTTACACACTGGGGGCGGGAGACACAGCACAGCCCACTGAGCCTATGTGAGTCTGACAGGAAGGAGCCAGCTCCCAGCCAGATATGCCACGATGGGTGCCTCTCCAGACGGGGTCAACACTCAGGGCAGGGAAGGAGTTAGCCCCAGACCACCACGTGGAGGTCACTGGGTGACACTCGGCTCCAAGATTTGCTGCTCCCTGTCCAGTCCCGGTCCTTATCCTACTGACTCCATTTTTCCCAGTTGCTTCCTGCTCCCCCAACCCCTGTAATCATTTTAAATTTTCAAATATATAAAAAAGCTGAATGAGTACGAGTAATTATACACCTTCCACTCATTTCAACAGTTTGTTCATGATCTGCCCCAATCTCTCTCCAGTATAAGATATAAAATAACAGGATAATACAGTAATATAGCTCAACAGCATATACACTGTTTTTGCTAAACCATTCTGAAAGTAAGTCGCAGACAACATGACCTTTCACCCCTCAAAATGTCCTCACGCATCTCTGGAGAACAGGGATTTTCTTCTACCAACCATAAAAACATACTAATCCTCGGAAAATGAACAATAATTCCCATATCGCCTAATACTCAGTCTGTATTCAAATTTCCCCCATTGTCCCCAAATGTGCGGTCTGCCTGTTTTATGACTTGATTTCATATGCTGTTCTGGCACCACCACTCTGCGCCTACCAAGGTCATCTGCTCCATCCCCTCCAAAGGCCTTGCTCCCACCAGTTCTGTTACATTCATCCTCTCGTTTCCTCTTACTCTTCCTCGGTTACTAAGCAACCCCTGTGTGCCAGGCACTGTCTGGGGATTCACAGCTGAAAACAGGTTCCTCCCTGCTACATACAGTCCAATGGAGTTATCGCCGTGCGTAAGGAGTGTTGCCACTGAAAGTGAGATTTGCCTGAGGCCCTGGGAGAGCGCTTCATGCCTTCTATGGGTTTTTCTACCCATTCTCCCAGCCTCACTTTTATTATTATTATTTTTTAAAGATTTTATTTATTTGAGAGAGAGTGAGAGACAGAGAGAAAAAGCATGAGCAGGGGTAGGGAGGGAGGGAGGGGCAGAGAATCTCAAGTAGACTGAGCCCAGAGCCTGATGTGGGGCTCAAACTCGGAGCTCAGGGCTCAATCTCATGACCTGAGCTGAAACCAAGAGTTGGCTGCTTAACCAACTGAGCCACCCAGTGCCCTACAACCTCGCTTTATTTTTTTAAAAAAGATTTTTATTTATTTATTTGAGAGAAAGAGAGGAAACAGAGCACAAGGTGGGGGGCGGGAGAGAGGAGAAGCAGACTCCTAGCTCAGTGGGGAGGCTGACACAGGGGACAATCCCAGGATCCTAAGATCAGGACCTGACCCAAAGGCAGATGCTCAACTGACTGAGCCACCCAGGTGTCCCACAACCTCACTTTAAAAAACATCCTCCTGGGGCACCTGGGTGGCTCAGTTGGTTAAGCGACTGCCTTTGGCTCAGGTCATGATCCTGAAGTCCCAGGATCAAGTCCTGCATTGGGCTCCTTGCTCTGCAGGGAGTCTGCTTCTCCCTCTGACCTTTCCCTCCTCATGCTCTCTCACTCTCTCAAATAAATAAATAAAATCTTTAAAATAAATAAATAAAATAAAAACCTCCTCCTGGGGCACTTGTTCTCCCTCTGCCCCTCCACCTACTCATTCTCTCAATGGCTCTCTCTCTCAAATAAATAAATAAAATCTTCTAAAAAAATAAATAAAGCCTCTTCCTTCTGCAAAGCTCTTCTGGGCCCTCCCCCGACCTATTCCGATTTCATCTGGGTCTCTACAGGATCCATGTTCTAAGAGCCCTTGGTCACTTTGTGTCTCCCCAACTATAAGGGTACACAAAGTGAGTATCACGTATTGGACTTCTTCTGTATTCCTCTAGTCTGGGACTCTGTGTTAAATACTTAAATACTGCCAAGAGACTGTGTTTGTGGTGGAGCAGCTTCTGATGCCTCCGAACAAATATGATCTGTAGGCTAAATGCCATTAGTATTGTTATAATGCTGACAGCAGAATTTGGTAGAAGACCAATTTATCAAAAAAAACCCCCGGAACCAAAAAACAAAAACAAAACCAAACCCTGAAGGCTTGCTTGGTAAAATTTTATAACATACACATTTAATAGATGGCTTGGAGAACTTGGAACACATGAAAAATTCCACGTGACCTCAGAGTCTGCGACGAATTGAGGTGGCTCACCTCCCTGGCTCTCTAGCCAGGAACACCTGTCCCCCTCCCCCTCTCTGTTCTGCACTCTGGGTAAGCTCATCATCTTTCTGGCTTTTGCCCCCTTCTCCCACGCCCTCAATGTGTAGGATTCCAGGCCCTGGGGAGCTGGAACCTCCTTTCTCTCTTGTGCCCATCAACCACAACCCTGCTTCTCAACTCTTCCAAACCTTACCTCTTCAAGACTCCCTCTGGGGATCCCACCCAGAACTAAACTTGGAGGAGACTCATGGCACAGACCCCAGACTCTCATGGATACCCACCTACTCTTTTTCCAGGCAGGTCCTCCTTCCTCTGTGCCAAGGCCTATTTTACTCAGGCTTTGGAGCCAGGAGGCAGGCTTTGTGGACCAGACACAGTCAGCATTTAATAATAAAGGTACAACAATGATAAATAAGAGCAAATACACTATTAAGAAGAGCCTAAGAGTTTGCCAAGCCATCCTGTAACTGAAAATCCCTTTAAAATTAATCTTTATCGGAATGTCTGGGTGGCTCAGTCAGTTAAGCGTCTGTGTTCAGCTCAGGTCATGATCCCAGCATCCTGGGATCGTGTCCCCAGTCAGCTCCCTGCTCAGCGGGGAGCCTGCTTCTACCTCTGCCTCTCTCCCTCTCCCCTGCAACCTGCTTGTGCCCTCTCTCTCTGACAAATAAATAAATAAAATCTTTAAAAAAATAAAAGAAATTATTCTTTATCTATTACCTACAAAATGAGGCTGGACTAGAATGATCTCTAGGATGTTTGCCAGCTCTGTGCTTCTCAGTCTGTGAATGCCTCCTAAGGGAAAGAAATGTGAGGTTCTCGGGCTATGAGAATAGAAAACAAAGAGAGGAAGTGAAACCCCCAAACCATACCATATAGGTTAGGACTAGAGCAAGAGTGAAAGGAAAGCATCCCAACTCTCTGCCTTCCTATTTATGGAAGAGATGGACAAGGTACAGGCTAGAACCCACACTGCAAGCCCTCCCCGTGAAGTCGGCTCATTTCATCTTTCATCTCTCAAATGAAAGGATTATGTGTCCCAATCCACCCCATCCCCACTTCCCAGTGCTTAGGGAACATCTGGCCTGCTGTACGCTCTGAACTGGGATGAAACGGATTTATAGCCAACTTTCGGAGGGGTCTGGGGTTATGGAAATGGCAAGGAAGGAGTGACTGTGAAGGTTTGGGTAGAAAAAAGAAATGGTGTGCCGGTAGGGGAGGTGCGGGGATGGCGGCGGGGGTGCGGGGAGCGGGGAGCAAAGGTAGCCCATTCATAGTCCTGCATCACTGGTTTGGGTGCTAGTGGTCTTTTTCTCTCTCTGAAGTTCTATGCCTCCATCCCTGTATCTTTAGGATACACTTTCTCCTGATTCCTAAAATCCTCCTCCCTCACCAAATTCTCCCAGGCTAGATCTACTCTTATCCCAAAGTGGCCCTATTTTTCTACCCATAGGCCTCAGACCCTTCTCCTTCCTCCACAGCCACCCGCAGCCCCCACGTGTTTGTCTTTATTTCAAAAATATTCCCTGGATGCCCACCAGGCACTGTGTGAATAAATATCTGAGACAAGGTCCCTGTCCTCGAGGAGCTTAACGCTAGTGGTGGAGTCTATCAATTACACAGATAGCTTGTGGTGAGGGCCTTTCCTAAGGACAGTCATACGGACCTTTTCAGTTCCTCAAACTTGTCCTTTGCTTCTTAGCCTGTAGGCCTCTGCATCTGCGGTTTCCTGAGAGACTCCCTCTTTTCATGTCTCTTCGCCCAGCTAACTCCTAATTACTGTTTGGTCCTCCGGTACGAATTCCTGACTTCCCTCTCCACACAGCCTCCCCCACCCCCGCCCCAGGCTAGATTAGATGCCTGGATCGTAACTGCTTCTTCTGCACCGGCTTGAGAGCTCCAGGTGACCCGAGACCTGATCTCTTGCCCCGCCCCCGCGTCCCCAGCGTCCAGCACAGTGCCAGGCACACAGTAGCTTCAGTGAATGAAAAGGATCCTCCTGCTCAGGGAGCCAAGGCCCTTCCATCCCCCCACCCGACTCCGCACGCCCCGCCTCTCTGGCGGGATTCTCCCCGCGGGCCCCGCCCCCTCACCTTCGCATTTGCTGGGAAGCCGAACCCAGTCGGTCTCCTCGGCGTGCGCCGAGCCGGGGCCCAGCTCCGGGGCGGGCAGTAGCAGCAGCAGCAACAGTAGCAGGGAGAGAAGCAGAAGACAGCGGGGCCCGGGCCGGGGCGCGAGCTCAGGTAACGGCTCCATGGTCCAGCCGGACCCGACCCCAGCGGACCCGGCTGCGCTTCCTCCCGAGGCGCGCGCTGGGCAGCTTCCCGCAGCCGCTTCCGGGACTGCACACTTGCCTCGGCGTAACCAGGGCAACAGGGAGCCCCCCCCCGCCCCCACCCGCTGCTGCCTCCGGCCACCTCGGCCCGCCCCCAGAGCCCAGGGAGGCCCGCGGACTACGTAGCCAATGGGCTTTCCGGGGCTTGCCCTACAGCGAATGGGAGAGCGATCTTTTTTCAGTCTCGACCAATGAAAGAGCTCATGGTGTCCTCAGTGACCTATGGCAGCATCTTTCCCCACCCACTAACGGATGTTCTGGGAGGGCCTGGAGGACAGGACGCGGAGGCGGGAAGCAGCGGTCTGGCCCTTGAATGGGAGGTCCGACTCTTGAATTCTGGTAGAGGTGCGGAAGGCAGTCTTCTCGGCCTTCTCCGCCTCCTTGCACGTCACTTCACTCCTGGGGTCGTAATGCAGCAAATACTTATTAAGCACCTGTTTTTAAATTTTGTTATTATTATCGTTGTTGTTATTGTTGTAATTGCTAATCACTAGTAGGCGCTGCGGGTGAGACCTTGGCTACGCACAGTCCCCAGTCTTCAAACTGTCTTAGTGCCAAGTAATCCCAGATTGGTCTCCTGAGAGCTAGAACAAGTCGCCTCCTTTCTGAGCCTCAGTTTCTTTTCTTCCCTCCTTCCTTTCTCCCTTCCTCCGCAAAGCAAAGATTTGGCTAATGAACGATTGTATTTCCCTTCCAATACGATTGAATCTCCCCAGCAATAACAGGGTGCCTGACATGAGGAGATGCTCCGTGGGGCCCCATCTGCTGTATCATCAAGAGGAGGACTTTCTGGGTCCTTGGGGCTGCTTAGACTGCCCCTGAGCTGTTAGAGCATAGTTTGCTATCACCACCTTGGGGGAAAGAAGACTTAAGGTAGAACCACTGGTCCAGCCAACTGTCCTGTTCTGCCCAGGGGACACCTAGGTTCAGGTGAAAGCTCCCAAGATTCCTAGGGGTTATTACTGGAGAGAGAAACCCCTGGAAAGCCTGGATCTCCTGCCAGTGCTGGAGAAACAGGCCACACACTCTACTGTGGGGGCCTTATATATTCTCAGCGCAAGAGCCCTTTTCAGGAAACAAAACAAGGGCGTTTGTGTGGCTCAGTCTTTAAGCATCTGCCTTCGGCTCGGGTCATGATCCGAGAATCCTGGGATCGAGCCCTCCATCAGGCTCCCTGCTCAGTGGAGAGCCTGCTTGTCCCTCTCCCACTTGCCCTGCTTGTGTTCCCTCTCTTGCTGTCTCTCTATCTCTCTGTCAAATAAATAAAATCTTTTAAAAAAGGAAGAAAGAAACAGGGCACCTGGGTGGCTCAGTTGGTTAAGCAACTGCCTTTGGGTCAGGTCATGATCCCGGAGTCCTGGGATGGAGTCCTGCATTGGGCTCCCAGCTCCTCGAGGAGTCTGCTTCTCCCTCTGACCTTCTCCCCTCTCATGCTCTCTCTTACTTGCTCTCTCTCTCAAATAAATAAATAAAATCTTAAAAAAAAAAAGAAACAAAGAAACAAAACAAAACAAAATTTCTTTAGTGCCTGACTCAGGCCTGATGCTCAATGAATATTTGTTAAATGAATAATGACCCTTAATTGATTAATAAGGTGTAAGTTTGGAATTAACATCCATGCTCTTGGCATTGTACATGATCCTGCTACCCTGGGGTCCTGGCCCTGTTCTTTTCTGTCAAGTCTGTACAAAACTTCATGTGGGGCCCAGCACCCCACCTTCCTGGCTTCCTGGGCTCCTCGCCCTGACCTCTCACAGAAGCTGGGCCAGGTTGAGGAGACAGAGTGGAGGTCTCTTCTCATGCCTGGCTGTGGGAGGAGACAGAGGTAGGACAGCGTCCTCCCCAAACCCTGACATCACTCTGCAGTTCTAGAGTCTCACCCTCAGGAAGCCCTCTTCCTCAAGGGAAACTTCCCAGATTTCTGGCTTTTCAAAATTTGCCAGATTCCCTCCTCCCAGGGCAGACATGAATTCAGATGTTTCGTTTGTGTCATTTACTTTCTCCTTTAATTGTTCTCAGTTCTCTGCCCCTCAAATATCTCAATACCTGTGGCACACCACCCTCCTCCCTGAGAAGGCCTCAGTCTGGGACAGGAGACAGTTTCCTGCCCCAGAAACTTCCATCTGCAGGAGAAGGCAGGTCACATACAAATACTGCAAGCCTTAAGGAAGGAATTTCGGGGAGGCTCATGAGCACCGGGCCCAAGCTCGATGGGTAGAGAGCGTCCCCTCCTTCCAGCCTGAGCTCTGGGGGGGCTCCTGGCCAGAACGGCGGGGCTGCGGGGCCAGCGGGGCGGGCACGGTGAGCCCTGGGCCGGAGGCCCCTCCAGCACAGCAGCCAATCCAGGCGGCGGGGGCTGAGGGCCCGCCCGCGGGCGGAGGCTGCGGGAGATCGCCGGGCGCCTGCGGGCAGGTGGGGGGCGCGGGGAGCCCGGGGTCCCCCAGGGCGGAAGGCGGGGCGCGGAGGCGGCTGCAGGTCAGGAGCACGTCCAACAGCAGCAGCTTGAAGAGCAGCAGCCGCAGCGCCCCCAGCCGCAGGGCCTGGCCCCGCGTCCCTGCGGGACGGAGATGAGCGGTTAGGGCCAGAGGCCCGCTTCAGTCCCACCCATCCGAGAAAGTTCTCCGGGGAGCAGGGGCCTTGTCCCCCCGCCCCTGCCATTCCTCCTCCCCGCAGTTCCCCAAAGCCTGGGAAAGTCCTCCCTGGTGTCTAGCCTCAGCTCTAATTGGAAATAGTAACACATTCCTTCCTAGCCTTCATTTTATTTTATTCTCCCAAAACCAGGGGGATGCAGGCCAAGCAGGGATTAGCATCTGACGCAGAGAGTAACCGGACCCCTATTCTCTATGTGCGGAAGTAGAACTGGACTCAGTCTGGTGGTGGTCTGGTCTCCCAGGGCTCTGACGCTGACACCATCTATCTGGGCTGCCCGGGGAGAGCTTCACAGAGCCCTCTGTTAGCTGTCGCCTACGCTTTTCAACTGGTGGCCAGGAATTAGTCTGGGGTCATAGGATCCACCCCCATCTACCTGTAGATAGACTGAAGCCCAGGCTTGTCAGTGCCCCAACCCAGCAGCCTCTTCAGGAACCACCCACCAAGCCCCCCCCCTACCCCGCCCGACCCAACACCAGTGGGACCATCATGCCAGACCCAAACAGGCTGAAGATCCTGGTCCCCAGTACTCACCCCTGAGATGCTCCCAGAGGCAGGTCCTGGCTGAGGAAGCCTCTCCTGGCAGCCAAGAGGAAGAGAATGAGTCTTTTGGGATGGGCTTTGCTGTCCACCCAAGCTCTGTGCCCCAGGCCTGGCAGGGGGCAGCCACGCATGGCAAGTTGCATAAATGGACAAATGAACAAGCACCAGGAAAGCTGAGCCCGTTTGCTACAAGGTCCCTCAGGGGCTCAGATCTTTCTCTGTCCCCAGTGTCCTCTATTCTGTGTCCCCTCCCCCACCCCCTCCTCAGGGAAGCTGAGGTCTCTCAGCACTTTTAGACGAGGACTTGGATTTTTAGCAGCCTCCTTTGAAAGGCAGGGCATTTATTCAACAAACATTCCCATTTGGAAGATGCCAGAACTACCATAATCCAAGAACAGGAAGCCAGTCATCTAGTAATAATAACAGCTGGCTTTGCACACATCCCTTAAACATCTCTGGCCTGTAAAATTGGGAAAATAATATGATTTTCTTCATGAATATGAGGTGTTTCCAACAGTGCCTGGGACAGTGTAGTCAATAAGTAGATGATAGCATTGTGTTATTTGATTGTCATTTGGTTCTGCTAGGTCGGGTGTCATAGATAGGGTGATATAGATATTAACCTTAGCTACATAAATCTAGATATCAACCCAAGGTAATAGGAGGGAGGCGGTGTAATTAACTCTTGGAGCTCATGCCTCAGAACCTGGATTTGAAGGAGATATTTGGGGGCTGGATATTTGAAGGAGTTGCAAACCCAGGCCTCAGGGCCCTGAGGCCACACTGCTCTGAGCCCAGGCATTGCCTCATTCGGAGGGTTGGCACAGGGACACCCACCATGCTCCCATGGGATCCTGCCCTGTCTTCCAGTATATCCTGTTTCCAGAGTGTGTGGGAGGGGCAGGGAGCATCCACAGGGGCCCGGACTCCGTCCCCACCTGACAGCTGTAGGGGCCGTGTGCTCTGGCTGCGGTCGCCAGCCTCGGGCCCTGTGTGGCAGACCAAGTTTTCCCAGGCTGCCAGCTCCTCGGAGGGCAGAGAGAGCTGGGCCAAGCTAGTCCAGGTGCCGTCAGCCTCTGGGGAAGGGCCGTAGGTGAAAGCGTCCAGGGAGCTGCCATTGCCAGCGGAGAACCAAATGGGGCCCCCAAAGCCTGGGGGTGCAACATCGAGGACCAGGCAGACCACCAGTGTCTGCTGCTTCCCGTCCACCAGCAGCGTGATTGGCGGGGCCAGAGAGGGGAACGGTGTGCCCCCCACACCTGCAAGAGAGCATGCACCTGTAGGGGGCCGGTCTGTCCCTGCCAGCCTCCCATAATGGGCTTCCATCCTTCCATCTGGGTTTGCTTCCATCATCCATCTCTCCTTCCATCCACTCATCCGTCCCTCTCTCCTTGCATTTGCCCATCTGTTTGTTCATTCATCCTTTCCCCAGCAACCATCTTTCCTACATCTACTATTTCTTTCTTTCTTTCTTTCTTTTTTTTTTTTTTGAGATTTTATTTATTTATTTGACACAGAGAGAGATCACAAGTAGGCAGAGAGGCAGGCAGAGGGGAAGGGGAGAGTAGGCTCCCTGCTGAGCAGAGAGCCCGATGCAGGGCTCCATCCCAGGACCCTGGGATCATGACCTGAGCCGAAGGCAAGAGGCTTAACCCACTGAGCCACCCAGGCGCCCCACATCTACTCTTTCTACCTTCCATCCATGTGTCTGTCCATGCTTCCAGGCATCCATCCATCCCTCACCCATCTATCCTATCTCAACCTATCTGCGCCAGGAACTGGGGATGTAACACTGATGAAGACATTGGCCCTGCCCTCAAGGAATGCAGTCCCAGGGGAAAGATAGCAGATGCAGCAACAAATTCTTACAATACCTGGTCGTGCCAGCCTCAGGAGGGTGGTTACCACTGGGGGGGGAAGGGAAGGAAACAAGATCTGGAATGAGATTAAAGAGGGTTTTGAATGTAACTTTTTGTTTCTTTTATCTGATTCAAATATGGCAAAATGTAAACCATTTGTTAATCTGAGTGGGATATGCATAGGTGTTTATTTAATCATTGTCAGTTCTTTTCTGTAGGTCTGTTGTTGTTTTAAGATTTTATTTTTATGTAATCTCTACACTCAGCGTGGGGCTCCAACTCACAACCCAGAGACCAAGAGTCCCATGCTGTACTGACTGAGCCAGCCAGGCGCCCCAAAGTATTTTTTTTTTTTAAAGATTTTATTTATTTATTTGACAGACAGAGATCACAAGGAGGCAGAGAGGCAGGCAGAGAGAAGAGGAAGCAGGCTCCCTGCTGAGCACAGAGCCCGATGCGGGGCTTGATCCCAGGACCCCGGGATCATGACCTGAGCCGAAGGCAGAGGCTTTAACCCACTGAGCCACCCAGGCGCCCCCCTAAAGTATTTTTTTTTTGAAGATTTTATTTATTTATTTGACAGAGTGAGAGAGATCGCAAGTAGGCAGAGAGGCAGGCAGAGAGAGAGGGGGAAGCAGGTTCCCCGCTGAGCAGAGAGCCCGATACGGGGCTGGACCCCAGGACCCTGAGATCATGACCTGAGCGGAAGGCAGAGGCTTAATCACTGAGCCACCCAGGTGCCCCAGCCCCCTAAAGTATTTTTTTTCCCCTAAAGTATTTTTTAAAGAACTTTGTTCAGATATACTTTATGTACTATACAATTCACCCATTTCTTTCTTTCTTTCTTTCTTTTTTTTTTTTTTTTTTTTTTTGAAGATTTTATGTATTTGAGATAGAGAGTGAGAGTGAGAGAAAGAGCACAAGTTGGAGGGGACAGGCAGAGGGAGAGAGTCACAGGCTCTCCACTGAGCAGGGAGCTTGATGTGGGCCTCTATCCCAGGACTCTGGGATCATGACCTGAGCCAATGGCAGATGCCCAACCAATTGAACCACCCAGGCACCCTACAATTCACCCATTTCAAGTGTATGTCTTTATTATTTTATATTTAAAAAAAAATTTTTTTTTTAAGGGCGGGGTGCCTGGGTGGCTCAGTTGTTAGGTGTCTGCCTTTGACTTGGGTCATGATCCTAGCCCCACATGGGGCTCCCTGCTCGGCAAGGAGTATACTTCTCCCTCTCTTCTCTGTTTGTGCTCTCTCTTGCTAGCTGTTTCTCTCTCTCAAATAAATAAATAAAATCTTTAAAAAAAAAAAAAGAAAAGAAAAGAATAAAAGAAAAAAGAAATACCCCAGGATGCAGGAATGGACACCGGAGGATCTTGTGGGGAGGTCAGAGAAGGGTGCTCAGGAAAGGTTTCTTGAAGGTCAAAGAACAGATCTAGAAGTTTGTGGACGGTAAGCAGCCTATCCAGGATTTGAACTCAGGTCTCTGACTCCCACTCCCGTAGACCACCCCACTTGGAAGGATGACTAAGATTTTGCTACATGACACAGTGCATCAAGACTGGGACATGGCCTCAGGCAGAGTTGGTTGGACTCCCGACTTGTCTGCTTAATTTACTGAATCTCAATTGCTGCATCAATATAATGAGGTTAAGGGGCACCTGGGTGGCTCAGTGGGTTAAGCCTCTGCCTTCGGCTCAGGTCATGGTCTCAGGGTCCTGGGATCAAGCCCCGCATCAGGCTCTCTGCTCAGCGGGGAGCCTGCTTCTTCCTCTCTCTCTGCCTGCCTCTCTACCTACTTGTGATCTCTCTCTCTGTCAAATAAATAAACAAAATCTTTAAAAAAAAATAATGAGGTTAATAACACCAGCCCAGTAAAATTGTTGTGAAGAAAAAAGATCATGAATGTCAAACACCTTGGCAGAGAAGTATTAGTATTATTATCAATGCTGATATAATAAGACATGGCAAACAAAAGGGATAGAGAAAGGTAAGAGTGAGCTCCAGGACCCTCGAGTTCCTGAGCCTCTTCACTTATACAGACACTCTCCCCAGGTTGAGTTTAGCATGTGCCTCCTCCACGAAGCTGCCCGGGATTGCTTCTCCTCACCCTAGCTGCCCCCTTCTCAAAGCTCGGACCTCTTGCCATGGGCTCTTCCTGCTCCACGTGGATGTGGTTTATCTCCCTAGCAAGGGAGAGTTTGTGAAAATACTGGGGGCCAGCTTTAGATCAAAGATGACCTTCCCCCACCACATACATGCAAACACGGGCATGCTTCTAGATGAAGTTGGAATTCTCGTCTCTAAACACAAGTCCTTTGACCCCATCCTCCATTTTGAAGGACTGAGGGTAATACCCTTGAGAAGTCACTGGGGACTTGCGACCTCCCCTGAGAGCCTACTGAGAAGGGGGAGCAGGGAGTGAACATGAGACATTTTGAGGCCTATGGGAATAGGGCAATCTGAGGGCAGGAGCCCGGGACAGGAAGGACAGGAGACGACCTTACAACGTTGCCCTGTCTCAGCCCAGGCTACCCCATCTCCATCCTCTCTGGATGTCTATCCAGCTTGCTGTCATGTCTCTACACCTCCAAGAGGCGACTGCCCAACCAGGGACTCCAACACAGCAGAGTCCAGGGAGCGGACTCGGGGCCCCAGGGTGAGGCAGCTGGAAGGCAGAAGATGATGGGGAAGGAAATGGTGGGCTTATGATGAGACCCTCGCCTACCCAGGGAGTACCAGAGCTGGGAGGGGGAGGGCTTGGGCCAACTAATGGGGCACAGAGGGGGAGGCAGGGAGGGGGCTCACCTGTGGGCAGGGCTGGACATCCGAGGGCCAGGAGAAGCAGCAGCCAGGTCCCGGCCATGGCCCTCCTGAGAGGAGGCAGGACCCAGCTGCAGACTTGAGGTGTGGGCTGTGGGAGGAGAAGCCCGCAAGACTGTCTCCCAGGCAGCAGGCCCAGCTGCTCCACCACGAGCCAGAGCCGTTTCCCGGTGAGGAGCCCCTCCTGCCTCCACCCTGGCCCTCAAACCTGGTCCTCTCTCAGGGGCCCAGCAACTCAGGGTGCCCCTCCCACACCCTACTCCCTCCTGGTTGAAGAGCACAGCACGGTCTGCAAAGCCCTTTCCCAGTCACTGGCTCAGCCACCTACGGGATCCTGAGCACTGGGCAGCACCCTGAGCCTTCCATTCAGCTCGTCACTCCACCCACCCAGCTGCTGTGAGCTCCGTCGCACATGAGGCAACTGGGGCTCAGAGACATGGAGTGACCTGCTCGAGGCCACACAGATGGCAGGGGGCAGACTGGCCTTACTATAGCCCCAAAGCCCAACACACTCATTTCCATGTTATTACAACACCTCATACCCACGCCCACCCATACCCACCCATTTAAAAACAGAATTTAGGGGCACCTGGGTGGCTCAGTGGGTTAAAGCTTCTGCCTTCGGCTCAGGTCATGATCCCAGGGTCCTGGGATCAAGCCCCGCATTGGGCTCTCTGCTCAGCAGGGAGCCTGCTTCCTCCTCTCTCTCTGCCTGCCTCTCTGCCTCCTTGTGATCTCTGTCTGTCAAATAAATAAATAAATAAATAAATATTAAAAAAAAAAAAGAAAAACAGAATTTATTTCTCAGAGCAGTTTCAGGTTCACATCGAAATTTACGGGAAGTTTTGGAGATCTCCCATATATTCCGTGCCCCTTCCCTTGAACCCCTTTTTAAAAATAAACTCTTGGGAAGCCTCCTAGTATCATGAAGAAATATTAAAAATAGGGGCACCTGGGTGGCTCAGCTCTTAAGCCTCTGCCTTCAGCTCATGACCTGATCCCGGGGTCCTGGGATTGAGTCCCACATCAGGCTCCCTCCTTCTCCCTCTGTCTGTGGCTCCCCTTGCTTATGCTCTCGCTCTCGCCCTCTCTCTGTCGTATAAATAAATGAAATTTTAAAAAAGTTTTTTTAAGTTGTGGTAAAGTACACATAACATAAACTTTATCATTCTCACCGTTTTTAAGTATACAGTTTAGTGGTAGTAAGTACATTCACAGTGTTGTGAGAACATCACCACACTCCATCTCTAGAATTATTTTCATCTTGCAAAACTGAAACTCTGTCCCCATTAGACATTAACTCTCCATTCTATCTCCCCTCAATCCCATGGCAACCACCACTCTGTTTTCTGTCTCTGTGAATTTGACTACCTCAGTAAAGTGGAATCATAGAGAATTTGTTTTTTTGTGCCTGGCTTGTTTCACACAACATGATGTCATCAACCGTGTTGTGGCAAGTGTCAGAATATCCTTCCTTTTTAAGGGCCAAATAATATTCCACTGTATGTATATACTGATGTAGGAAAAGACATTAGAGTTCAAACGTGATGGCCAAGAAAGAATTCTTGAAGATGTCTTTGGTGCAAAAGGTGATTTTTTTTTTAAAGATTTTATTTATTTATTTGACAGACAGAAATCACAAGTAGACAGAGAGGCAGAGAGAGAGAGAGAGAGGAGGAAGCAGGCTTCCTGCTGAGCAGAGAGCCCGATGTGGGGCTCGATCCCAGGACCCTGAGATCATGACCTGAGCTGAAGGCAGAGGCTTTAACCCACTGAGCCACCCAGGCGCCCCAAAAGGTGATTTTTTTATAGATAGTTTTTTTTTAAGATATTATTTATTATTTGACAGAGAGAGAGAGAGATCACAAGTAGGCGGAGAGGCAGACGGAGGGCAGGGGGAAGCAGGCTCCCTGCTGAGCAGAAAGCCTGATGTGGGGCTGGATTCCAGGACCCTGAGACCATGACCCGAGCCAAAGGCAGTGGCTTAACCCACTGAACCAGTCAGGTGCCCCGTTTTGGTAAAATTTTAAAAACATAAAGAGGTTTATCTCACTGAGTCACCCAGGCACCCCAAAAGGTGATTTATATTAAAGCACGGGGACAGGACTTGTGGGCAGAAAGAGCTGCACCGGGGTCATGAGATGTGGCCCATTATATACTCCCAACTTGGTAGGGGGTTAGGGATAATGTAAGTCTCTAAGGAATTTGGAAGCAAGGTTTCCAGGACCTTGAGGGGGCTGGCGGCTGTTGGGAAAAGGTAATTTAGTACCATCTAATAAAACCTTAGTCACGAGACCCTTCAGATGTATATCGGTGGGCCATATATGCTTGGGGATGATTGCCAACAGGTATCTTGGAGGATTTAGAGATAAAGGAAATTTCTAAAGGAATTTTTATATGTTAAAGTAGACTTACAGGATCCTGGGGGTGGGTGGTGGGGCTAGGATTGCCTTTGCCTTTAGGGAAGTCAACACCAGAGGCAGTTGAGTCCCTGGAGGAACGTCAGTCACTCTGCCTGTTTCAAGGACTTCTCAATGGGCTGTAGGTAGTAAGGAAATTTAATAATTTCTCTTTTGCCTTTGTTCCCCACATACTATACCACACTTGGCTTCTTATCCATTATCTCTCGATGGACATCGTTCAATAGTTGCTTCCATATTTTAGCTATTGTCAATAACGCTATTGTGAACATGGGTGTACAGATATCTCTTCAAGACGCTGCTTTCAATTCTTTTTGTATGTATACCCCGAAGTGGAATTAGATCACATGGTAACTTTGTTTTCAGTTTTGGGAGGGAACTGTCATACTGTTTTCCAGTTATATTCCGACAACAGTGTACAAGAGTTCTAATTTCTCTACAAACTTGCCAACACTTGTGATTTTTTTTTTCATAGTGGCCATCCCAGTAAGTGTGAAGCGTTATCTCAGTGCGACTTCATTCTGCATTTCCCTAGTGATGACTGACGCTGAGCATCTAAGGCTCCCTGATACACATCTGTTATACCAATTTATATTCTACTTCAGTGTATGGAAGGCCACGGAGTCCCCACCAGCATTTGGAATTCCTTAAAAAAAAAAAAAAACACCCAAATCCTAATTTAATCAGTTAGAAAATGTTATCAGTTCTCTAATTACAGCATTCTTTTCTCATTTCCTTGTTTCCTTCATTGTATTGCTTATTGCCCTCTTGCAGTCCTGGTGTTTTACTAATTCTGTAAGGGCTTTCACATAGCGACCATACCAATCCTTGTGCACTGCACTTGCCGAAGCCATTCCTAACTCACTGGTTACTTTTATTTTCTTCTTATTATTTTTTTTAATTTATTTGACAGAGATCACAAGTAGGCAGACAGGCAGGCAGAGAGAGGGGAAGGGAAACAGGCTCCCCACTGACCAGAGAGCCCGATGAGGGGCTCGATCCCAAGACCCTGGGATCATGACCTGAGCTGAAGGCAGAGGCTTCAACCCACTGAACCAACCAGGCGCCCCCACTGGTTACTACTAATTTCGCTTTTTTTCTTACTGACTTTTTTTTTTTTTTCCTTGTATGAACGAATGCATCCATCTTTCCTAATGGGAATTATCACATCCCTTTTAAGTCTAGAAAAGTCCTTCCCCCTCTAGAGATACATTCTACCAAGTCTTTTTGTGCGTGTGAAGTTTAATCCCCACACCCCCACCACCATTTAACTCTATCAGCGATTAATTTTGGTGTAGGATAGAAGATATGCATCTAAATTTCATTCCCCCTCCCCAAAGAGCTAATCGATGATCTCAGGATTATTAATTGAATACGCCTTCCTGTCCCTATTATTTGTGAAACATTCTCTACGTTACTATCTTTTATGTTGGCCGGTTAATTTTTCCTGGCTCCCCGACTTCTTTATTCTGTGCCAGCCTCTTCCGGCGGGACGGTTGCTTTAATAGCGTGGGGACTGCATGCTCGGACGTGAGGAGGGAGCCCGGGCCGCGCTGGCCCGGCTCCCCGCGCTCCCGCCCCCTTCCCTCTGCGCGGCCTGGAGGCCTGCGGCGCCGCGTGTTCCCAGGCGCTGCCCGCGCCCAGGTGCGCTGGGTCCGCGCGGGCTCCCGCCGGGAGGGGGCGGGGGAGGCAGGTGTCCCTAACGACTCTCGCGCCCTCCAGCCCGGGGAGGTGCTGGCCCGGGATCCGTTACCACATTACAGATGGGGAAGGAATCCTCTTGCCCCTTTAGGGTTTTAAGAGCTTCCCAGGGATGGGGAGGCATTAGACCCCGGGGCCAGCAGCCGCCTCTGACCGCACAGCTACCCTCCCACTTAACCGCTTTCCCCTGCTCCCCGCCACAGGCCGGCTTGCAAGCCTTCCTTGCCCGATCTCTCATAGGTCTGCTCCTTCCAGGAGCCCCAAGACTCTCCCCTCAGAGGCCACAGTCTTGCTGACCCGAAAGATGCCCTTGCTCAGGGCGGTGAGGTTGCCCCAACAATCCGGCCTTGAATCTCAAAGCTGAAATCCTTCTCTGAGTTCCTCACTCCGGATTAAACCTGCGGTTTGCTGATCCGCTGCTAAGAGCCAGGTCCTGTTAGCAGACCTCTCGTTTGATCCTCACAACCACCCTACCAGGTGTTGGAATCCGTGGTCACAGCTGGGGAAACTGAGACAGAAAAACGAAGTCACATGGCGGAGATTGTCACATGGCGGAGATTGTTACGCAGCACAGCGCGGGAGCTGGGAGCTAACTGCCGAGATGGACGTGTTTACAGGTCTCTCTCCAGAGTTCTTTTTAGGAGATTGTCCAATCGGAGTACCCATCCGAGCGCCTGATGCACAACGGATTAGCCCTGTCTCCCCCTTTTTTGTCAAATAGAAAATCAGGGGCCCTTTTAGACTGAGATGAACCACATGAGACCTGAAAAGGAAAATTAAGGCGATGCCTGGGTGGCTCCGCAGGTCTTGATTCCGGAGTCCTGGGATTGAGTCCCGCATCTGGCTCCCTGCCCAGTGGGGAGACTGCTTCTCCCTCCGCCTGCCTCTCCCCCTGCTTGTGCTCTCTCTCTCTCTCTGACAA